GTTAATAAGGCTTATATATATTTATTAATATATTAAGTTTAGAACCTTGACTCACTCTAGATATCTGGGGAACATCCAATTGCCAGCACTGGGCAATCGCCAACTGATACCTTTAAACAAAGAATGGACCCTAAGAGACAAAAGTAGTTAAGATTAGGGACTAGCGTACAATATGATTGGATAGAGGGAAACTCGTAAGTCCAAGATTTCCTGAGCATGATCGATCGAGTTCAGATATTATTGAAGGCTAAGTACCGGACTAAAAAAAGACCAAAAAATTCTTCGGAGTAGCGCCTTAGCCCATCTCACCATGAGCCTACCAAGGTGCTAATCATCTTTTTTAGTCGATTTGATATAATTTATATTATGATTTTCTCTCGGGGAGCCTCATCTAGAAAACACATCTACGCTGCGATACGGGAGAGTTTGGCGATCATCCTTTGAGCGGAAGACATGTCATGCAAAGGCGGTTGCCCGTAAATGCAAGAGAACCTTGGAATCCAAGATGATAGGGGAATATAGTAATCAGTCGCAGGATCAGCAATTGGCTGCGCCTCTCAGGGTCCAAAACGATGCCCCACGACAAGCTTCTTTTCAGGGGCTTGAAGGGGCAATGATAGCCGGTCGCGGAAACTGATCAATGTTAGTCTCTGATTGCGCCACCCATCGGCTGTATTCTTTTTTATTTCACTGCAAATCCGACGCGTCCCGTGCGCATATCCACCATTATACTCGCATGTCCCCGACAATATTGGCAGGACACATATGCTGTGCTCCCCGTTGAATTATCGGCCTTTCGGAAGGTCGAACAGGATGGGTGGCAGACTATGACAATTGCAATGCAACAGCTAAATTTGGCCCAGACGCCAAAGTGGAGCGATTCGGTCAACCGCGGATATTCGGGCACGCAGATTCCGCGGGTGGCCTTCCCCACATCACTATTGCCCGTAAACATCGAATTCGCTTGCTGCCCAGTGGCACAACCATTCATGCACATCATATGAAGTACCGAGAATTCAATAATTCACATCTTATAACTATTTAAATGAGGAAGTAGAATAGTTCGGGAGGGGGTATTATCATTATCAGAGCGTATTATTCTGCCTGTCATGCAAAACGGCGAAAGCGAGGACACTTTTAACATCGGACCACCCCAACCTTGCAATTGGCAACCTCAGGAGACCATGGTAGATTCTATTAGAAAATCTATAATAATAGAAGATATGGCGATACCTTTACAATATTCAAGACAAGTTTATATATTGTAGCCTTCCAGAAAAGAAGAACTCAGAGCTATTCTTGGTAACCCTACACCTCTATTAGTACAATGTTTCATCCCCTCGACCTCTATTGTGCTAATATATCTAGCGGTGTTATAGGATTTATTCTAAGTTTAACTCCCCTTGTCTATGAGCTGATAGAATAGTAAAGGGCCGAGAAATTTAGGACAGCGACAATATTTTTAAATTATATATTAAATATTAAACCCAGCTAACTTATTTTATTCAGTGGTATCGTCTACTTCTTTGGAGAATTACTTATAATTCTAGCCACGGTTCTTAAATTTATTCTAGAAAATACCTTTATCTTCGTAGTCTTTTTATCTTACGGTACATAGATAAGATAGATATCTTCTATTTATATACTTAATACTTTATTAACATATTAATAGCCGTATTTTAGCTTTCCTTAGTAGTAATATTAACGCTATTCTACGGCGCCTATACAGTATATAAGTTATCAAACTCTAGAAACCCCGGGTTCAACAACTTTTTATAATACGTATTTATCTAGTAAATATCTTGGATATATTAATAGATTTCTAAACTCTAGCATTCTTTAAGATCTTCATAGGTATTTTATACTTTATCTATTTAATATATAATATATAAACTAATCTTTATTTCATGGTTATTTTTTTTACCCTCACGCTTGGGTTTAGCTTTCTCGTAGAAACGTTATGGTAATTAACCAATGGAAACGCAGATTTATCCAGGTTATTAAAAAAGGCCAATATTACCTTTATCTGTTGTATCAAACCGGCGCCTTTCCATATTATACAAAATAACCTGGCTGACAAGTATTCTATATCGGATAAAGATAGGTGGTACCTACCTGTTTGTAGGAGCCATGTCAGGATAGTACTTCCTCCTAGTTTAAATACTTACCAGTATTGATTTTCTATTCACCCTTCCAGTTAGTAATCTCAGCTGTATAATTCGTGGTACAAGTAACAAAGGTGCCAAAGAGGTATAACTACGAACAACTTTAAATAGCGACTTTCTAAAGCGCTATATATACCTCCCAGATTTCAATTAACCTACATTATGCTAGTATAGCGCATTCCTAGATTCTAAATACTATTCGATTACTATTTCTTAGATAACACGGTCACTTGTTACTGCTGAGCTACTTCCAGTATCTAACAATAGTAACGAGGCGAGTTAGTATGTGAAAGCAGACGTACTAGAAATCCTAGTATTGGGAATTCTAGTAGTTAGTAAGGGGACGAAAGGTATTGGATAATTTTGACTCATCCGACACTCACACCACTTCTTATGAACTTAAGTATGCCCAGGTTTATGTAAAAGCCATGCATCATATATCTTCTTTAATTAGACTTGAGATTTTAATATGTACTGCCAATATAGTCCGTCATCTGGAACTATATGTATAAATGACATTCCCGCCATCGTTGTCTAGTTAGTCTAGGCTTCATAGCAGCCTAAGTTACTTTGATACTACCTAAAGTATCTAGACACAATTCTAGAAACTTCATTGTACCCCCGCGGCTTCAAGGGATTGCAAATAGCATAATATATATATTTTTTAGATTGGAGTTTTCATAGTAACAGAGACATAAAAGTAAGGAAGATCTGTGCTTTACCTCTGGGCTTGGTTATACAACAGAATAAAATGTGCAGTGTAATGTTTATATGAAAAACCTACAATATATAACATGCCCTACAATGCGGGGACTCTGCAAATATAATATATAAAGGTATATCTCTCTATATACTAGCTGGGTAGAACCTGCTGTGAAACTTAGCAACCCTTTAGTAAAAGCTATCTATATAAAGAAAAACATTCCCCTATTCCAGGTTTATCGTCGATAAACCAGTTCTACAAAATTAAACAGCGAAGCTTCAGCTATCACTATATATAAAATCCCCGCACCTAGTTTAGGTTTAAAGGTAAGCCTTTACAAGCATAGCTCCTTCGTAGGCCACTAATTATTCCCTTACACAACCTATAATATAGTTACTTATGCTAACTTCCAAGCTATTGGACAAGTCTTTCAATATTACTTCAGCTGCTTAACTAGACAATACCACTCCCACTACACCCCCGAAAAGAACTACTCAACACTTTTCTTAGAGATTCTACAATAAAAAAATACAATAATATAGATTTTCTTGAGCCCTTCTATAGGTAACATAAACATATTAAGCTTAAGGTACTTGAGACGCTTATATAAAGAATTATCAAAACTTTAGCAGAGAAGATAAAGGTTTATAGTAGGAAAAAAGAGCAAGAGACTAATCAAGTTTAGGTACACTAGCAAGGGAGCAATTGAGCGAGCTAAAGCAATGCCTTTGGTATATAATAATACCAACCGTCAATTTACTTTCCTTATAAGACCTACATATTAAGGCTTCTTCTAAGCGAGCAGCTTATCAATGTCGTTGACATTTGATATAGCAGAGTCGGCTTTCTGGATATTTATATATAAACACGGAACCCTTAGATAAATTTAAAATAAAACAACCCCAATACCGGCTATAAAGCTCTGCGCGACGCCTTACTGGAGATAGAGTTTCCATATACGCACCAGTAGGCTCTAAATTTCCTACATGGAATGAAAAATGAAAACTACTCTTAAAGTAATATTCCCTGCTTGCATACAGCTGGAAGTTCAAAATCCTGGTAAATAAACTAACTCTACACCACTTTACAGAGAATACCCGATGACTGTCGTGCCGGATACTTGTATTTGCTGCTGGAGCTTAAACTCATTATTAGAAACCAATTCACTAATTACTGGGTACTTTAACAAGAATCTATTTTCCCAGCTCTCAAGATTACCTAACTTATCTTGAGTAAGATCCTTTATATCGTCCAAAAGACCCTTAAGATCTTTAGTAAGTATTTCTTTATTAAAGCTTTGCAAGGCCAGTCCACGAGTCGCGTCCCGTCCCATAAAATTCTCGTATAGTCCTCCCTTAAAATTAAGTTAACTATAACATATAATGTTTTGCCAATACAACGATAGCTAAAAATATATTATATAACATACTAGCCCATAGAAATTTTTGCTTATACTTACGTTGAATATACAACGGTGTACAGTAATATAGATTCTATTACTATTGGTACCATTGAAAGCGAGAAGGTCTATTAATATAAAGATATAGAAAAAGAGCGGTAAAGATAAAGTTTGAGAAACAATAGAAGCACTGCGGTGGGAGCGCGTATAGACTAATATAAATACCAGTAAAAGGACTATGGCTTAAAGGATAGTCATTGCTACTTCATCCAGCAAACCACGGTAGAAATCTAAATATTTCTAGCATAGAATAAAAATGAACATAGCAGATAGATACTCCATCCTAGCAGGACAAAATACCCCTCCAATTTATACTGATTAATTGGTCCATGTTTTGTTAGTTAATCATATATTTCGGTTCATCTACGGACGAAAGCCGCGGGAGCTAGTAAAACCGTTTCTAGCCAGTCAGGCAGGTAGGGCTATAGTTGCCCGAGGAGATTTCGCTTCCGAGGTACCTTTTCCTAACTTTATTTATCCCTTATCCTTACTAAAATTGGATGGGTAACTCTTATGTGATGTAGAATTACTGTGGCAAACGGCTCTACTTCCGAGGCATGCTAGTAGAGCATTAAGAATAAGTCATTCTAACAATCAAGTTTACACCTCCATCGACCATTTACTCTGCGGTTAACTGCTTAGCACTCATTTTCCTTCTTCACAGGATGTCAACACCGGTGGTTAGAACAGTGGGCGTGATTGGGACCGGTGTCATAGGTGCAAGTTGGATCGCTCTTTTCCTCGCGAAAGGCCTCAAAGTAATCGTTACCGACCCTGATCCCGATGCTCCGGCAAAGCTTTCAACATTCCTACATGATGCCTGGCCAAGTTTCGTTATAGCAGGCCTTGCACCAGAGGCAAGCCTCTCAAATTACGAGTTTGTAGAGGAAATAGACGAATATTTGGCAGAAATTGATTTTATCCAAGAGGCAAACCGTTCATTCCACCCTAAACATCTTAACACGCCTATGTACTAACATGGATTTAGAACAGCCTTGAGGGTTTCAAATTTAGGAGAAAGCTTTTGGCACGTCTGGACCAAAAGACACCACCCGCAACTGTGATCTGTTCCTCTCAACCAGGAATCCCTTCTGAGCTGGTATGCGAATGCAACCATCGTCCCGGCCGCGTCCTCATCGGCCATCCTACCAGCTTACCCCATTTGCTACCAATAATAGAGGTTACTATCCACCCTGAGACGCAAATAAACCATGCTATTGCCGCAACAGGCTTTTATCGCTCCCTTGGCGGAATGCCCCTCCTTGTACGGGAGGGCTCCATTGACTTGGGTGGGAATAGATTACGGGCCGCCCTTCTTGGTGAAACTTATGATTTGGTTCATCGAGGCGTGGTATCTGTGGCTGATATTGGTCAGTTCTCACGCGTTCCATGTACAGGCAAACTCTAATGCTTTGTTAACTAGGCATCGTCATGACTGGGCTTCAATGGGCATTTGCTGGTCCTTTTAGAACTAACGGCGTTAGCACGATTGGGACTTGCCCCCATATATGGTAAAGTGCTAGGTCAAAAGTATTGTAACACGCGGATTTCGGCCTCCGAGGCACTCTTTTTAAACCTCTACATGTCAACACAATACAATCAAAAGGCTTTTAAGCTCATAGTAAACTCTATATATTTCTAAATTCAATATTTAGTGTATTCTATAAATTTAGTATACTATCCACAGGGAAATAGTTAAACAGAGAGAATAAATCAGATACTCGAACAATATTTGCGATACTATATCAATTACTAATAGAATAATTGGGTAAATCTGTTATCAGTAGCACAGTTTTGTTACGCCCGGGGCTTCGTCAAGTCCTAAACCAGTAAGCTAACCACGTGTAGTAACACTCACCTGTAGTCGATCGTGACCACTACTATTGGGAATCGTATCTAGGTACGTTGGTCGTAACTTGAGTCGTGGACAGGGCAAGGTCGGTTGACGATACTGGACTTGAGTTCAAAGGGCCAGGCCTACTAAGTACGTATACTCAGTAGTTGAAGATTGCGAACGAGTTGAGACTGGTTTACTAGCAAAGGTAAATCCGTAGTAACAATGTTTATTGATCACGAAGAACTAAACTAAGTACATGAATGAGCGTCCTTATATATTTCCTTCTGTGGTACCTTTCTGTATACCATCTGTGGTACTTATGCTGGTACCCCAGGTACCATACTATATACCATTCATGGTACTCTAGCTGGTACTTCGTCACGTGATGTTCGTGGGCGTTTCTGTGGATGTCTTGTTACTACACGAAAGGTATGTCCGTGTTCACCCACGTTGGCGCTTTAGTCGGTGTTACCGTACTAACACCGAGAAACCCTATTATCATGGTTCGCCTGACATCGAGGTCCTTAACATTATCGTGTCTCATAATGTTCACGTGTTTGGTTATTATCGCTTGGATAATATTCTGCCGTCGGTAACATTTACCGCTCTTATCGTTATCGTAGCCAGTATATTATCTGACAGTGCCGCACTAGGCCGGGGTCCGTAACAGAAATGATCACTTTGACAGCAGATCCAGAAGATACTTAGTATCAACCGCTATAATTTACTGGGATTTTGAATCAAATTGATTACTCAGTTAAGAAGAAGTGTGATAAGATAATCCTTCTGTCAGGTAATGAGTTGGGTGGAACTCGTCCAAACGTATTTGATCTACCGGATAAATCCTTTGTCCGCATCCGAGTGACTCCCCCACGGTTGAAAATACTAAATTGGTGGGCCATAACCTATACCATGGGAGATCAACCTGGAGAAAACGATTATTCACTACATTATCCTTATTATATTATACAAGGTCTGCAGGCGCTTTTCATCCCCTAGCCAGCGACTCGCCAACGAAATGTAAGCCTATTAAAGGCAAATATGAGTCCACCGCGGCAAGATGTCTTGGTACACTGAATTTTATTTCATACCAGATAAAAAAATTCCTGGACTTGATGGTTCCACTGCGGCGCTAAGCCTCTCACTGATAGAACGTTAAAGACAGTGGAGAAATGGAATTTTAGTGCCGCAAGCTCATTTCCCCCTACCCTCACCCCACTAGAGCTTGAAATTGGAATTTAACTGGTTCATAGAATGTACTCGAATCTGAACGATCGCTAAAAACAAAAATATTCAGTAAAGTTGAAAACTTTTTAAAGGTCAAAGCCTCTTTTTACTTATATCAGACAGTCAATTTTTATTTAGTCTCATAGCCCTACTTTATCAACCTAATATAGCAAAACAAGCAACAGAGGTGTAGCTACATGGCAGTATTATTTTTAAGGCTTAGAAACAAGGTCAGGTAATCTCCATATCACAACGGTATCACACCAGAAGATAGAAAAAACCTAACAACCTAAAACTAGCCTCATTCTAGATCAGCATTTCATTTCAATCCTCAGATTTATATCATTCAAGGAATAACTAAATCCTGAATCTTCTCTTAAAAGTGTGAACAGTATCTTTCCATTATCTTAAAATAGTGATTTGTGTCTTCTTCCAACGGGGTCGTTGTAATTTTGGAAGTAAAGTTTACACCAAGCTCAACTGAACTGTAAACTAAGGTACCAGATCGCTGCAAATTCGAACATACTATCTATAGAAGTGATTAAAGATTAACTAAATCTTCTCAGGCTTTAGATCTAAACATCAGTAAATACATATATAGTAACATCGATAATTTAAAATTTTAAATTCTAATATATCTCTAAATTGCTAGTTCTATATGATAGTACCGCGGTGAGACGGGAAACCCATATATTTAACCCAGGCGGAGAGGTCAATATAATTCTGCAATACCCGGAATATCACTTGGCACCTTAAAACGATCATAAGGAACCGCCTGTCGAGGAAGCGCCTACTGAAGAGCCTCCTACTAAGAAGCCTTTTGTTGAGGAGCCCATCATATTCAAAGAGCAACTTGCAGAGGTATGTACCAGTATTGTCCTTTATAATAAATAAAAAAAGGGTAGTAGTGAACAAACCAAGCTTACCATACCTAAATTTTAAAATAAGGAACACGTGAAAACGCAGGATTTTCGTATCTAAGTATCGGCAAAACACCTAATCCTAGCTTTACCTGTATTCCAGAAAGCACTTACTAAGGGCTAGAAAGAAGGTTTTTATCTACCTAAAAAGGGAGCAGTTGAGATTACTATCAGCGGCTAGGATCTTAAGACTCTTAATTTTAATAAATATTTTTTACTCTCGGCCTCTAAACTTATCTCGGGAAATAAGTCTGGAACTGCTTGCTAAAGTTACTATACTAGCAGACTACTACCAGCGCCAAACTTTGGTTCAATATTTCGCAGACAGGTGGATCAAAAGCTTGAGAGTTAATCTTCCCACGACATATTCCCGCGGTTCGATACTCTAGATATAGATATCATAGGTCTTCAGGCAATCATATGAATTTAAAAAATGTACATTACTTACTATCTCACAGAGTAGCAATCGCATAACAAATCTTGGGTTGCCAATTCTAGAACAAGTAATAGGTAAGGCCCAGGAATCCTGATCTGGGAGAATATAATAACAATCGCCTAGATAAAATGAACATGCGCAGATAGAGGCACGAACAGAGAGAAACCAGCAGCAAGAGGGGATACGTCATAGCAAGGCCCTCTTTGTACTGCACCTATCCTATAACGGTCATTCTTGTCCTAGTCTAGTCCTGAGATCAGTAGTAATAATTAGCCAGTCTAAGGCTGGTGCTAATCAGTCTGAGGCGAGCGAAGGTCAGCGATATAACGCGAAGGAAATCTCTTAAGGTTTCGACCGTAGAAGGTCGCGAAAGGATTGAAGTGCCATCCCTCGTCTTCCTCGGAAAATAACGGAGGTCTTCATTGGGTAGCGAAACTTGACCAAGAACCAGGAAGCTTAGTGTTTCTCCGCCTTTTTCGGTTCCGGCGGTCCACAGGAAATTCCACAGCATGTCGGTTCCGGGGTCACTCACATCCAAATACCAAGATAATCTATTCTAATAGGAGAAGGACCGAGGTTTCTCCAATCCCTACACCCTGCAGATACATAATAGGGCAAAACTACTGTTTTCCCGATGCTTCCCAAGTTGCGCCTTTTAACACGCGACCTTGCGCCTGGCCTGAAAAAGACTGAAAGGTAAAATCCCGCCTCGCATAGTTTCAACGTCTCCCTCCTCCGGACTTACGACCTCTCCACTGCCTTCTTATCTCTTAAAATGGGGGCAATTGAAGATCTCAAGATACCTAGCTCTCGGGATCACAGTCTACAGATTGCCCTGTCAATCTTTTCTCCTGAAAACTGTCTCCGACCACGGCCAGTGATTGTTATGTGCCATGGCATTGGTGCGATCAAGGCAGCCGGTCTGGCTCCATTCGCATCGGCCTTCGCTGCCAAGGGTTACTATGCAATAACTTTCGACTATTTACACTTTGGAGAAAGCGATGGACAACCACGCAATTTCCTGTCAATCTCGGGCGAGCTACAGGATTTTCGTGACGTTATCGCCTGGGCTCGACAACAGCCTGACCGATTTGATCCAAAACAAATCGTTGTCTGGGGATCTAGCTTTGGGGGCATGCACACCACTGCCATAATAGCGTCTGACCATGAGCTCGCTGGCGCCATCGCACAGTGTCCCTGCGTTGACAGTTTCGCAGCCGCAAAGAGGCAGCCTTTGTTGAAGTCTCTTCGTATCACTCAAATGGCGATATCTGACGGCATACGCTCATTATTCGGGAAGGAGCCAATCTACATAAATCTGACAGGGAATGGATCATCTGGATCAGCAATTGCCCTGATGGAAGGCTCGGAGGTGATTCAAGGGTGGCAGAGAATCAGTCCGTCAGATGTCGCCTTCCCAAACATCATAACCGCTCGGTCCTTACTCGAATTTCCCATGCACCGTCCAGTGTTAGGCGTCAAGAAGAGCAAGAAGCCGTATCTCATTGTTCTTCCAACCTATGACAACGAGGCACCTTTGGAGGCAGCCGAGGCTGCAGTACGAAATGCCCCGTTGGGAGAGGGTTTGAGAGTTCCGGGGGGGCATTTTGACTTATATGCTGGTGGCATTGCGTTTGATGCCAATCTTTCGGGTCAGCTCGCATTTCTCGATCGTATTCTTGTCTGATTCAACCCATTTTCAATAACTATGCTATATTCTCCAGTAAATACAGCTTATTTTATTGGGTTCATTTGCAGGTTAATCACAGAATCCTGAATCACTATTTTTGCAAAGAATCTACACAATGTAGCCTCTCTCCCTTTTTCCTAGGATACTGTCAACCGGAACCGTGCCAACTACCTTGAGTTAACGTAATCCACAAGCGGTGTGATCACATTAACGTATTCGGAAAGCGAGCGTTCCACGTAACCGAGCGTTCTAACCCCGTATCCCATATAAAATGACCATTTTTATATATCGGATATCTCAGCAACAAGAAGTCCAGAGAAGCTGTACTCTAGTACTAAGAGTTTTAAACCATATAATTATCTAATAGACTAGATATAAGACTTTTTAGTTCTATAATTCTCTCAATATAATAACTGCAATATATATTATTGTATATTTTATTGAATCTTATATTATAACAGTCTAAAATATATTAAAAAAGGTCTATTAGAGCTCTAAGACCTAATATATAACATATATTAGTAAATTAAGCATTGGATACTTCTCACTGTTGGGATATTTGGATTAGAAAAGGGCTATTTTATATGGGATATTGGGTTGGAACGCTCGGTTACGTGGAACGCTCGCTTTCCGAATACGTTAGATATTGCTTACGTCCACAAAGTGGGTCTGTGTGGATTTCACGCCGCCACTGCCGAGGTAAAACGGCAAGGGAACTTCAGATGCGACCCTCGACAAAAACCTCTCGAGCATCGTGAGATAGGCTAGTGTACTTTTTCATTGATATGAAGCACATACGTGCTCCGAAGCGCCGCAAACAGAACAGCAGCTGTGATGACTGTCGTCGGGCCCGAGTTGGCTGTGATGCTTCTGACTTGGCTGGAGATTCTCGAGTCGGAACCGTGCCTTGCTCTCGTTGTAAAGACCGGAAGCGAACTTGCACCTTTAACGTCAGTGAAAGTCCCCACAACCCCATGGTTTGGCTATTAGTTTCGTTAATTATCAATAAGGCTACAGTGGCTCTCATCATTGCAGCCAAGGGTGTACAATCCTAACAATCGAGTCACGGGACCCCTGCAGGCCACTGCCGATTCGACTACGCTGATATCCACAGCTAAGCATGGGAACTCTGTACACGAATTCTCCACATGGCCCAATCCGTCTGAGATGGGCTTACAGTTGCAAAAGCTATACTGGGATACATTTGACCCATTATTTACTTCTTGGGTTGCTGGCGCGTGCAATTTCTACGACAGTCCAGGCCTCGATTATAACGGTCTAAGCATCTTCGATCTCTGCGTCAAGCTAGATCGCGAAATAAACTCCATTGAGCAAGACCCCGGTGATATTCCCTCGGGGAGGCAACAGGCATTAGGGTCCTCTGAGAAGAAAGAGATAGAAGCCAGAGCAGTTGCCATTACAACGATCCACTGCTTTTGCGTACGATGGCTTTCCGTTATTTACCCTGAGCTACGAAAGACCCCATTGAACGCATGGCATGAGCATATGATGCGCGCTCTATGGCGTAAGTCTCGAAAGTTCATGTTGAAAGCCATCAATGTAAGGTCCTATCAGTCTGTATTCTCTCTTATTCTATTTGGTCTTACTCCTGTCCCTATCGGCGTAGGAGAGGACGAGGAGATGGAAGGTTTGTCAGGCTCACTTTGCTTTCAAGTAGCGTTACACCATATTTACAGCCTCAGATGCCGGCGTGAGACATTGAAATTTTCGACATCCAAAGTGATAACAAAAGATTCAACAGTAACGTCTCATGTGTCGGATCATAGTATCACTGGTATGCAATGCTACTCAAATCTTCATTATGAGAACATGATGTACGCTGCTGGCATCGTTATCGACACGACGTCCTCTGTTACACTCGACTATAAGCCCGTTCTGGCTGTCGGAAACCTAGGGATGGATAAGGAGCTTTTTTTCGAAGTGATAAAGACTAGAGCTTCTATCACTCACGAAAGATGGCAGAAAGGGTTGCTGCTTCAAGCCTCAACGATAGGCGATACTGAAGCGGACGAAATAAACATGTGTGCTAGCCAATGGAAGCTTTATTTGTGGAAGGCTGTGGCTGCTCTGAAAGAGGCGCTACGAGATGGTTGCAGTGAAGACCTTATTCATGCTGCTTTCAGCGCCGTTCTCTGTGCCATGGAACGATTCCGACTTACATATGGTCCTATGTTGGAGGCTTGTATGTGTCGGTTGGATTTTTTGGGCATTAGACAAAGATTCAACTCTTGTACGCCCTCGAGTTCTTCTATAAAATGTATTATTTCACAGGTTTTGAGGCTAATCTGTTTCTAGGGCTACTTATGTGCCACTGGTATCTTGGCGTACTTCTTTTGGTCGACGCCATCGAAGCATCTGAGAGGCCCGATCTCCTTTCTCAATTGAATTTAGCGCGAGACGACGCAGTGCAAGGTGCAATTAATGGCTTTAAGATCGGATCAACGAGTCGTTATGTTTTCTCGGATGTGATTTCCCTGGCCGGCCGCCAGACGAGAAAGGCTCAATGCCCCCTCCTGGCTATTGATCCTTACCCCGTTCATACCATCGCAAGTAGTCATTTGGTTTTGAGGATCATCACGAAAGATCATGAAGACGGAAAGATCACTGTGGAGGCATTTGAAACCCTTTTGGAAATTATCTCCAATGCATTGGAACACCTCCCGGGAACGTCTCACTCGGTCGAGGTGGCTCGACAACATGTCCGATCTGTGCAACTGAGTCTCGGAAACCAAATTTCAGCCATTCCAAATACCAATACAGATGATCAGGACTGGCAAGACGCTAACCCCGGCCCGACACTCTTGTTTTCAAATTCAATGTCCGACAATCTTTCTATTGTAAGCGACGGCCAGATGGAGGAATATATCACATTGCTTTATACTGCTTTCTAACAGCGGTCATTGTACCCCGCTTTTTCGGCGCTTTGAGCTAGCTGAAACTTCAAAGTCCAGAAGACAGCGCCAAGCAAGCCGACCCCTAGAAGTGCTGGTATCAACACCAGGTGATGTAAGATAGCGGTATTTTGATTGAAATTTCTCTGTTCTTATGGCCTTTGATATTCATACAAGTCTTCATCCCTTCGTATACGCTTCGGAACTCGCCCAGATGTACGCCGTCGGGTACTGCTATTCTGTGGAAGAGCTATATCATCTTCTTTATCTTCGCCATCATCTTCGAGTTAAATAAGCGGCGCCTCGGTTGTTGGTAGCGCTGCTTCTGCTGCTTCATTTCTTGGTCTCTTACCAAGGATACTCTCGCCGGCTAGCTGGGTCGGCTCAGATGTTGAGTGAGTGTAATTCTCCTCCTCCTCCTCCTCCTCCTCCTCCTCCTCCTCCTCATCGTCATCACTAATCAGATCGAACACCTCCTCCTTCTTTTTCTGAGCCTCCTGCTCTTCCTTTCTTGCATGGATCTCTTGTGTAGATAGGTACTCATCAATGAAGGCTAAGTCCTCCGATTTAACATCAAAGCGGGTTGTACACATCATCATCATGAGGTCCTGGGTGGTTTTTGGCTTCAGAGACCGTCGACGGAAGTGACAGATATCACGAGCAGAATTGAACAACCGCTCAACACCAGCACCGGACGTAGGCGTAGAAAGGACATCTCGTGCGAGGCTTGCGAGAATAGGTAGTTCATGCTGATGGTCCTTCCAAAATACCCGTGGGTTGATCAGACGAGTACCTATCAGAAAGGTTAGTATTTAGGAAGTGAGAGGTAGAAAGTTCACTTACTACTACCCAGATAACGCCGAAGCTCATCGTCAACACTCGTCTGAGACTGGCCAGATTGGGCAGTTGATACCATCAACTCTAGGTTGGAGACCTGTGCAGCAGAGGGTACAGTATCACATCTAGGCTGGGACTGTAAATAACGCTTCTCATATGGGATAAGGTACTTCTCGAGACGCTGGCGGTATCGAGAAGCCCACTTTGGCTCCCACTCTGGCTTCTGGAAGAATTCAATCTTATTCTGAGGCGCCATAATTGTAGCAATCGCATAAAGATCGTCACTAACATCATCCGTCGCCCCGTAATACTGCGAAAGCTTCTTCCTTGCATACTCAAGTGCTCTAAGCATCACAGTCTTCCAATTGACCTTCTTTCGCATTAGCTGTCTCTTTGACTTCTCCAGGTGAGCAAAGAGGGCATTGTAGATGCCAAATACGGTATGGATCGTGATATCCCTACTCTTTGAGACCTCGTCGGTGAAGCTAAAGAATGGTTGGGTGATTGAAAGAAGATAGTCAACTTGGCGCCATTGCTCTTCGCCCAGTTAAAGATCCACCTGGCTATATACCCGGCAGAACTCATCAAACGTTGACTGTAGCCGCTTCGCTCGCCGGAGCATCAGAAAGGTTGAATTCCAGCGGGTTTTGACATCTTGCATCGGCACAAGCTTTGGCTCCTTGGTCCGAAGCTCTAAGAAATGCTCTCGGCGCTGGGGACTCTTGTTGATCTGGACAGCAAGCTTTCGGATCTAGTAGATAAATGACTGTTAGTAAGGATAGTTAGAAGGATACGTAAGAAATAATCTTATACACTCTTACCTTAGTCAACGTGTAGATGATCTCATGATTCTCTCGGCAAGAGGGTACCGTTCCTCCAGTAAAATCCATCTCTTCTTTCTCATTCTTCGGATTAGCTTCCATCTGACCAAGAAGCTCCTTCAGGCTAAGCTGAATAACATGTGCAATACATGGCATGCGAATGATAGGTATATTGCCTGGTAGCTCAAGTGCCCGAACAGAGGTCTTGAGGCTCTCCACCAGCGTTGAGTTACTAGACGCGTTATCCGTAGTAACGGTCAATACCCGATCCTCAACCTCATGCTTCTGCAGTAGTGGAAAGAGAACGGCGCCGAGATTAACACCAGTATGCGACCCATAAACAGGTTCAAAGCCAAGTAGTATCTTGCAGTAGTTCCAGTCTTGATCGATGAAATACCCCGTAACTGCCATAAAGGCCTGGCGAAAGGGTGAGGTCCAGCAATCTAATGCAATAGAGAGCTTCCCACCTTCAGGTAGCGTTCGAAGGAGACTCTCCTGCCGCTCCTTAACGATGACTTGTAGTCAGCGCCGGATAGTAATCGATGTGGGAATTTCTGGCATGCTTGGGGCAAGGCGGATTGTTTCAACTAGAGCGCGGAACTGGGGGTGTTCAACAAGCTGGAACGGTAGCTGTAAGCTTGAGGGGAAGGTCGGAATCCTCTCAATCCAGACATCGTTAGTAAACGCAGTCTTCTGTGGTGCGAGGTGTGCCTAATGTAAACTGATATTAGTAGAAGTCTAATAGGTAGATAGAATTTGTCAATGTACCCCTTTTTGGATGAGTCTTCGAATATCTTTTGACTGTGGCGTCTTCTTCCGACACTTAACACTTCCCTGATAGTGTTTATTTATAGAAGAAGTTCCTCGGTGTCCATCTGCCGGGTGAGTAAGGGTATGATCGCATGTTTTGCACATAACCTTCGGTTCCCCGTCTGAAATAGCAGCAACTTGGTGAAAATGTTTCCAGCATTCTGCTGTTCGTGCCCCACGCTTATCCTCGAAGAGATTGCGGTTGATGCGGCTACCAAACTCAGTTTTCAACCACCATACAACGAAGTCGTCATTCACCATCTCCGTCTATAGTACGAAGCTCTTCTTTCTGAGGCCCAACGCGCTCGAGGATCTCCGGTGGGGATACGGATCGGGTGTGAGAAAAACTAATATTGGGTGTAGAACTAGGAGTATCACCGTATAAAGCATCAGGAGTGAAGGACTGGACGCTATCGGATGGAGGGAAAGGGAGATTATCCAGGGGTGTGTCCTCAAAGATAGATGAAGGATAGTGATCAGAAGACTGCGAGAGTTGACTCTGTGACATAATGAATAAAAGGTATAGGGATAAAAGAGAGGAGATGAACAGAAGAGACTTACGAGAAGCCCTGAAACTACCAGGGAAAGGATTTAGAGGAGAATAGTCAGATAGACCGGTCGGCGCGAGCTGAACGGACGCGTGGATATTTGAATATAGACCAGGTCTACTACCGCGATACGTGATAATTGGCTACTAGGACCCACAGCGCCAGGTTCTGTCAGGTTCTTCCTAGGCCGAACTGCGCAGAACCTGGCGGTTACCCTGGCAGACCTGGAGGTTGTAGCATTTCCGCAGAAATCGGCTGACTGAAGTCTTCGGCAGAATGATGCAGCCAGGTAGTTCAACAATTGTAGGCGACAAAAATAGTTAATATTAGTTGGATAATTTGAATTTTAAAAAAGCTGGAGTTACTTCTAAGAGCTAACCCTTTTACTTGAGCTTATTTTTGGCTTATTGAATTTAGATTCTAGGCGTGTATAATTTTCAGCTCTACAAAAGCATGGTAGGTTTACTCATAGTAGAAAATATATTTTTCCCTCTTCATACACTACAATCTCTACAATACACTATCTCCCTACCCACAAAGAGTAAAATAAGATAGAATTTAAGGCAAAGTGATATTTCTAGCCGAAATAATCGATTTACGAGACAATTTCATATAATTTCATATAGGAGTAGCTACCGTCGAAGACTGGTAGAGGGCGAGACCAGATCATGTGTAAATAACAGTAATAAAAAAGATGAATCAGCAATTTATGCACCCAAAATAGGAAATTTCTTGGCAAAATTATGTACTCCAGGTTCCTGCAGGTGCGAACTGGGAAGAACCTGCAGGATAGTTGGTCCGGTTCCAGTTCTAAAAAGTTGGAACCTGGGACCCGTATGGTCCGACTCCAGGTTCCAACCTGTAGGACCGGAACCGGACCATGTCGAGGTCTACCCTGGACACACGGGCTCTCTTTCCCGAAAGACCCACTAGCGGGCTAGGCCCAGATCGCCTTAAGATCGTCACACCCAATAGCCAATCATACTTATAGACTCCTGTTATGGAGACAGACCTCTAGCCCTATAGGGGTTAGCGCCGCGGTAAGTGGCGCTCCGGCAAAGAAAGCGCGTCTGTCTGGGGATAATCTGTTTTTGAAATTCCCTATAAAATTCATGGTCATTCCCCTTGACAAAAATGACGGCCATAAGATTAGTTCCCCTGATGTCAATAAAGTATATCTTGCTGCTTCAACGTAAAGGGGAAAGGTGCATCTTGCAGCTAGTAATGGTTTCTGAACGTTTGAGGTGGATCAGGAACTCTTACTGTGTCCCGTACGCGTTGGATACCATTAGCACGCAACAAGGACTCGGCAAGCCGATAACATTAGGTATTACAGTGGAACAAACTCATACGTCGGTCTTTGATTCGAAGGCGATCTACGTCGCCGGAGTTTTCTCATTTTCCTGATCTACATGTACAATGTTCCATTTTAACCGCCATAACAACCCGGTTGATTGTTCTCTTATGAAGGCAGCGGTAGGGAATCGATAATCTAATCCAAAACATATTGATGTCCTGCTCAGTCTCGATCTATTCAAGGTACCCGTACCTTGTTGCTTTGGCGGGCCCGCGCCCGCCGAAGACACCAATGAACTCTGTCTGAAGATTGCAGTCTGAGCAGATTAGCTAAATCAGTTAAAACTTTCAACAACGGATCTCTTGGTTCCGGCATCAATGAAGAACGCAGCAAAATGCGATACGTAATGTGAATTGCGGAATTCAGTGAATCATCGAGTCTTTGAACGCACATTGCGCCCTGGTATTCCGGGGGCATGCCTGTCCGAGCGTCATTGCTGCCCTCAAGCACGGCTTGTGTGTTGGGCTTCGCCCCCCGGCTCCCGGCTCCCGGGGGAGCGGGCCCGAAAGGCAGCAGCGGCACCGTGTCCGGTCCTCGAGCGTATGGGGCTTCGTCACCCGCTCTGTAGGCCCGGCCGGCGCCCGCCGGCGACCCCAATCAATCTATTCAGGTTGACCTCGGATCAGGTAGGGATACCCGCTGAACTGAAGCATATCAATAAGCGGAGGAAAAGAAATCAACAGGGATTGCCTCAGTAACGGCGAGTGAAGCGGCAAGAGCTCAAATTTGAAAGCTGGCCCCTTCGGGGTCCGCATTGTAATTTGCAGAGGATGCTTCGGGAGTGGCCCCCAGCTAAGTGCCCTGGAACGGGCCGTCATAGAGGGTGAGAATCCCGTCTGGGATGGGGTGTCCACGCCCGTGTGAAGCTCCTCCGACGAGTCGAGTTGTTTGGGAATGCAGCTCTAAATGGGTGGTAAATTTCATCTAAAGCTAAATACTGGCCGGAGACCGATAGCGCACAAGTAGAGTGATCGAAAGATGAAAAGCACTTTGAAAGGAGAGTTAAACAGCACGTGAGATTGTTGAAAGGGAAGCGCTTGCGACCAGACTCGCCCACGGGGTTCAGCCGGCATTCGTGCCGGTGTACTTCCCGCGGGCGGGCCAGCCCGGACCGAGGAACGCGTTTCGGCTCGGACGCTGGCATAATGGTCGAAAGCGACCCGGAGAAGTGGCCGACGTGGAACGCCTGGTACGGAGAACTAGGGAACCTCGGCAGGGATCTGTCCAATCTGGTCGCAATGATAATCAGCAGAACCTCCCCTGAACGACTTCATAATTGATCACCTATCGCAACTACGAGGAAGAGAATCATTCATCCTCCCACAGAAATTCAATCACCATGGCTCCCCCAACAGCAACCGAGACTGTTAGCAACATTACCGTGCAAGCCCGGCAGTCGAGTCAGGCCGCGGGCGCGGAAAAGGCCAAGGTCAAGATGCAGATGCCCAGCATGCCCAAGTTCGAAGATAAAAAGGAGGAGCGGGACTATCTCAAGGGCCGTCTAGCTGCTGCATTCCGGATCTTTGGCAAGAATGGATACGACGAGGGTATGGATGATGCACTGTCTCGCCTTGGAATAGCACAGTAGGCATGCTCACGGTTCATTTCTACTAGGTGTTGCGGGCCATATCACTCTTCGCGACCCAGTCGACCCGACGACTTTCTGGGTGAATCCCTTCGGTACTGCTTTCTCCTTGATCAAGGCTTCGGATTTGATTCAGGTCGATCACTCGGGCAAGGTCATCGACGGCGGACCTAACCGTATGCTCAACGCGGCGGCTTTCATGATTCATTCGGCTATTCATGCCGCCCGGCCGGATGTACTGTGTGCAGCTCATAGCCACAGTTTGTATGGACGCTCGTTCTGCTCGCTGGGTCGGCCACTCGATATCATTTCCCAGGACTCCTGTGCATTCCATGATGTAAGTGACCTCTCGAACCCACTATGCTGCGGAATTGAACAATTAACTCGGTCGGCAATAGGACCACGTTGTGTACAAACAGTTCAATGGCATCGTCCTCGCTGAGGAGGAAGGCAAGATAATCGCTGCGGCGCTGGGCAATAAGAAAGCAGCCCTTCTGCAGAACCACGGTCTTCTGACTGTTGGCAAGAGCATTGAAGAGACCATTTTCTGGTTCGTGAGTCTGGAGAAGTGTTGTCATGCGCAACTACTTGCCGACGCTGCGGCGACCGGTCGAGGGGGCCAGACCGTCAAGATTGACGACGCAGACGCTGCCTTCACATACAAGACTGTTGGCACGCCCCTGGCTGGATGGTTCGGCGCGAAACCGCTGTTTGATGTCATCCATAAGGAAACCAACGGAGACTATCTGGAATAGTCTAGGAACTAAATCCGTCCCCCTTGATGTCAGGTTTAAGCTTGCTATGCCTGAAGTGGGAGACTCGGATGTGGCTTCGGGTGTTTCTCTCTTTTTTCTTCAAAATCAGAATGTATATAGCGATGACAGGGGTGAACCGAGTCTAAAGAACGGAGTCTTCCCCACTTGTCCTCCAATCTCATGTTCTTCACGTTTTTCGCTCGTTGGACACAAGCTCAGACAAGCTCCGTCAGCCTTGAAGAAATCTGATCCACAAACCGGAGACTTCTCCGCGTTGGTAGCTCTTGTCCATTCCTCGTTTGGTAGAAATTAATGCGTCAATCACCGCGTTGAGGGTGCGGGGATCCACCGTTTGAACTAGCTGGCGCTTATACTGACAGTGTTTTACTTTGAAACAACACCTTATTACCCGGTCCCGACGAGCCTATTTGTTTCCACCACTGATGTGAGAGGGGAAAATGCATAAATATCAGCGATTTACCCAGCGAAATATGGAAGGTCAGCAGTGCTCAACTTACACTCACGTACCGGTTTCGCGATTACTATTCTTCAAACCATGAAGTTTCTTCTTCCTCTCCTGGCCAGCTCTGGTCTGGCCAGTGCTGCAATCTTCGGATCACCTACTACCCATACCAAACCTGATAGCTGGGGAGGCAGTGTTTCGTTGGGCCCATCCAAGTCGACCATTATCAATGCCGTTACCACTATTATTCCTGGTACTGCTCCGTCCACCCAGAATGGCGAGCTCTTCCTGTGGCCGGGCATGTCCAATGGTACTGGAGATTTGATCCAGACTACCTTGGAGAGCTGGCCTGACAACTCCTGGTGTGGAGCCACTACTGGGCAGTGGTGCGTCCGCGCCAGTGTGTTTGGATCCTTTGGTCAGCTCGATGGCACTGCCAGCCCCGTCAGCGGGTCTGAGAAGGTCCGGATTGAATACAATTTGGAGAGCGATGGAGAGACATGGAAGCAGTATGTTGCCCAGAATCGAGGATTGCTTATTCGGATGTTGACTTCTTGCAGGACTGTCACCAATGCTGACACTGGAGCTCTCCTTTCTACCTATTCTCGTGCCTCTGGCCCATACATGACCTGGTAGGTGACTCAAACAGATACTGTAAATTGACCACTTGCTGATTATAGATGGCTACGGTACCGGAACCGAGTGCGACAGTGACTGCACCGGCACTATCGCTGCTCAGCAGTGCCTCAACACGACCATCACCCTGGCCTCCGCCGATACCACCTTCGGTAGCACCATTGCCACTGCTCAGAGTGCGACTTACACAGGATTGAAGTCGAGCCAGAACGGCAAGGTCTGGGTTATTGACACTATCAACATCCCATCCATGTCTTGAGGTTGGAGTTCTATGAGGAATCGTGAACACTGTTCCAGGATGATTCTTGTATAAAATGAAAATCGCTGCAACTGGTCCTGCAAGAACATCCAGGCTCCATCTATACAATAAACACTAAACATTATTCATGCCCCTGGTAATTAATATATTGGCTACGATAACGATAAGCGGTGAATGTTACCACCGGCAAAATATTATCTAAATAATAATATTTGGGCACGTGAACATTATAGATCGTAGAATATTACGATCACGATAATATCGAGCACCTCAATATTAGGCGGACTTTAACAAGGGAACATCTCGGTGTTAGCACGATAACGCCGACGGAGAAGCAAACCTGGTAAACACAGCCATACCCTTCGTGTAGTATGTCCAACACCAACGCTAGACGCCCATTATATCACGTGATGAAGATGGCAGTCTTGTGTCGACTGCAGGTGGGGAACCCTACGTGTGGTCTGCTCACTGATTTAGGACTTGACGACGGAGCCCCGGGCGTAACAGTGGGGTACAAGTAGGAACTTAAGTAGGAAGATATTTCCATACTAGTTAGCTGTCTCGTATTATGATGATTGAGGCTTGACCGTCGCTATAAAGGAATGTCACTGGCAGGTATTGGCCGTAAACGTTTAGTGCAACAGAACATGTAGCATTGATTGATTCTACCCATTAGGTAATGATAAATTCTCATGGTAAAGAACCATCCATAGCCTAACTCAAGTGCAAATGTACAGTTCCATACGCAGAACCGTGACGAATACCCTCTTTTTCGTACTAACTATTTGCACTCCGAATCGCCCTAAGAACCTCATCCTGAGATGCGCCAGATTGTATAAGACCAACAATGCGAGCTATCGTTGCTTTATCTTCATTTCGTAAAAAGTCTACCAGTTCATCAAGAAATTCGCGGTAATAATCCACGTATTCGGCAGTGGCAGCAGGGCTTTGAGGGTCTGCAGTTGGGTCTGCAGTTGGGTCTGCCTGATTGTTGTCGTTGGCATTAATTTCGTTGGATATGTTACTATTGCTATGAAGTTGTTTTTCAGCTGAGCTACAAACCCGTATATGTATTGAAATAGAGGTTCCGATAGGATCTGTTTACCTTCCTGAGCTCTGGTGGTTCTCTTGGACCATTATTGCTCAAAGGGTCGTTACTTTTGTTGCCACTTGGAAATGTTATTTGGTATCTCGGTCACCGTAAGGTTTGGTAAAAAAATGAGACACAAAGTACATAGGGGAGCCATCGGTGGAAGACATA